GCTCCATGATCGACCTCGGGTCGCTTCGCCGGCTTCCGGTGCGTGTCCGCGCTGCTCTCGTCTTCGCCGATAAGGCGGAAGTACCAGGCCCTTGGGAGGAACGTTAGCCAGCTTCACCTCGCGGCAGACTTGCGTTTCTTCCTCTTTCCGCCCCGTCATCTGTTTCAGTTCATTGACCTGCCTATGTAGAAGCGACTAATTTGACAATGAAACACGATCCTATTGAAGAGGACAATATAGACGATGGAAAAGAGAGACATGGTCACGTACCACTCCTTGAAAGTATACTTCCGCGGCGGCGTGTGCTGCAGATGCCTCGTCACGCGAGCGATCTCGTCAATCAGAACCAAGTGGTACTCGGCCCGCGACTTCGGGAGCTCCGTGGGTACGTTCTCCCGGGCCACGGACGTTCTGCGCTGTGGCGGCTCCGGTTTGGGTTCTCTCTTCGATGAGGTTCTGCCTCGCCGCTTCGTCGAGGATTTCGACTTCCAGGTATCTTGCCTCTTGTGTTCTTGCTTCTCGGGAAACGGCTCATCAGCCACCTCCTTACCATTTTTCGGGATTCTTCCCGCATCGCGGGCTTCGTCATCGCCCTCGGCCTCCCCATCGTCGCTTTCCTCGTCGTCATCTTCATCCTCTCGATGCGGCTGGGCTGCACCGAGGAATCCAGGAGGGGCCTCCTCGATTTCCGTTTCCTTGTCGAAGGCGTGGGGCGAGAACTTCGATATAAGCCGCTTGGCCTCGGTCTTGAATCCTTGATCCCCGGGTAGGATAGTCAAGTTTCCGAGCCAAATAGTGCCGTCCTTGATGCCCTTAATGACGGTGTCGCCAGCATTGGAGATAAGGATAGTCATCGTGGGTAAGGCGAGTAGAGACCAGAAGACGAAGAAAGCCTTGGCCGAGTTAGAGACAGGCGTCAAGTCGCCATACCCGATGGTCGTCAGGCCTGTGAAGGCAAAATACACACCATCGAAATAGCTCCACCCTTGATATGGCTTTTCGCACTCTTGAAAGATCTTACCGCCCACCAGCCACAGAACTGCAAACGTCGAGGTGGAAATACCCATGGCCGTCCATCTCTTTTTCTTATCGGCCTTCTGCTGGATCGTCCGCATAAGATGAAACTCCTTTTGTCGACGCTCATACTCCGTTCTGGGCCGTACAGGGCCCTTATTTTCGGGGAAATAGTCATCAGGAGTCTCGCCGGCAATGGGCTCGAGCAGGTCGCCTTTGCCTCTCCTCCGGATCTGGCGGATAAACTTCCGGCGCTTCCTCTCGAGCATTCGGGCATCCATGCGGCGCTTGCCGCGGTCCAACATCAGGCTTCGAATACTTCCGATGACCAGACCCAGAGTGATGATGCCGACTAACGAATAGGGGATGAAGAGTCCTCGCCCCAGATTTGTGACTGGGTAGAAGTCACCGTATCCGACGGTGAAAAGGGTAACGTCAGCCCAGTAGACGGTATCGAGGTAGTTCCAACCCTCGATGGTAGAGAAGACCAAGGCACCCACAAGGAGATACATGAGAAAAGCTATGGTCTGCAGCATGAGCGTCCTCTGGCTGGTAGTCAACTCGAAATCCTTGGCGTAGTGCCCGGTCTCAGCACCGTACACGGTGACGACCATCAACGACGCCACAATGAAATAGAGAATGGCAGCGAATACGCCATAGTAGAAGGCCTGCGACCAAACGTATTGGTCCCAGCCGGGCAGGAGCAGAGGCCCGCTCGCCGTGGCACACAAAGCTATCAGGCATATGGACGAGATGTACCAGCCGACGATGGTGACGGGCTGGGCAACGGAGAAGCGGATCCTCTTGGTCATGTTCAAGAGGAGAAAGACGTTAGAGACAAGGGCGATGACCAGTTGGACACCGTTTACGGCGTAGAGCCATGGAGGGTCGGGCACGAAGACGGCCTTGGTGACATCGGACCCGGGCTCTATCTTCTGTCTCCAGTTTCTGACAAGGGCACATATGGAGAAAGCTGAGGCAACGGGACCTAGAGTACCGGCGATCATGGGAAACGCTGCCGAGGCAACCCACCACCGGCTATATTCACTGTCAGCATAGGTGATGTGTTGCTGAAAGGAGCTTTACGGCGTACGTAGGATCCAAGTGACCCTGCTCACTCTGAATCGGTTGGTGGCCGATGGCTTCATGATCACTACCATCGACAGGCTGGGTCTGATAGTCGAGATTCTCATTCAGATTGGCGTCGTTCATCTTGGGTGATGATAGGAGTTGTGGTGAATGAGTTGGTGCTGGTTATTTACATAATTGAGGCCGGGAATATAATCAGGAACAGTGACATTGTTGAGAGTGACGAAGGCTCAAGAGACTCATGCCTTGAAAGAAAAGATTGGCAATCCCATCAAGCTTATTTCATGTCAAGATTGCAGCAGCTAGGTAACGAATAGGGGGAGATACAGATCCAGGTCAGCTGCTATCGAGAGCCAGACTTCTTTGGTTGTGCATGTGGAATGACGTCGTGTGGACTTGATAAGCCTGAAAACGCTGGACGACTTCGGGGGCGACAGGCCAGTCACCGCGCAGGGAGCAGAAGAAAGAAGGAAACACAGATGGTGGTGATAGCGGGGTACCCTACCTAGGTAGGTAGGAATTCGAAGATCAGGGCGCTGGTTCAAACTTCACTGAAATGAAACGGCCACCGGCGCCTCGACTCGCTAAGTTACTCCACTGATATGGATTCGTCAGCCGCCGTTGAGTTCCAAGGTTCCAAGGTTAAGTACACCTGGGCAATGAGGGCCCAGAAAGCCATCTCTGCAGAAATGCCGAGGTTGGTGAGTATCTTCATCGAAGACGAGTGCCATCAAGGACCAGATCGAACAGTAAATTCCGGTATGAGAACATTGCTGGTGTTGTCGTGTTCTCCATTTTCCATTGTTCTAAGGATGGCGTAAATAAGAACCTTCCAGCTGAAGTAATATCAGCTCGAGCCACTAATCTTAGAAGTAAGTCCCTGTACCCAGCAGCCCAGGTCTCCAGGGCTGTACCATACTACGCACCTAGGTAATCAACTGGTCAGGTGCGACACGGTAATAACAGTGGGAAAAAGGCCTAGACGCGTGACGAGTACTTTTTAACAACCTGCCCACAACCTACCTAGGTATGGCATTCATCATCCAGATTCGACCAGTCGAGCAACCAACCTTGTACATATGAATGGATGACGTGAACAGAGACAAGAGAATATGAGAACATGGCATTCATTGTATAGGATTGCAAGATATGCCAAGCCTAGTTCTCACCGTCTAGCGTCGCGACCCTTTAGCACTCTCACCTCCCATTATCACAATGTGGAACGAGTCAGCGTCCCTGTTGGCTCATCTGGTGATGTGAGCATCGAGTAAGTATCCCATCCGCTCTCTGCATGCTTTAAAGTAGACCGAAATCTAACTGCTCCTGAAGCTTGCATAATATTGACAAAGTCGCATCTCCAAATCCTCTGTTGATCTATCTGCCGCCCTACTCAACGGCTTTCACCGACCAGATTCTGCAGCTACCCAGCTTCTGTCGAGCATTACCCACAGCTGTCATCAATTATCGCTGGGCTGGGCTGGGCCCTTTTCAGGATCAATATGGCAGCTATACTGATGGGAAGGACGACGAGGAGGAGAACCGCTATAAGCTGATGCGTTGGCCAGCGCCCATTCACGACACGCTGAAGGCGTACAGCTGGATCATTGAGCATCTCGCCCCGCCAATGTACACTCGCAGAGATGTGTACGTATACGGATCATATCTCGGTGCGTCGCTAGCCACGTCACTGGCCTTGACAGAAGCGCATCCTCACGAGCGAATGGCCGTTCGCGGATGCCTGGCCCATAACGGGGTTTACAATTGGACCATGTTCCTGCCCGATCATCCCGTCCACCATATGCCCAAAGGGGGTATGAATTTCCTGGATGTTATCCTGGCCGGATCGGGTGAGCCCGATTTCCAGGTCTTGAAGCAACGCGCCGAGGCACTCTTCAGGACCCCGGAGAACTTATTTGACCCCTTCGCCAGCTCATGTCTTCTCTTCCACACCCCGGGACTCCTAGTACCTCCCTCATTCGATGCGTCGGCCATTCCGACAATCTCAACTAGAATCGCGTCAGCGGATCCGTCACCGTCCCCCGATGCACCGGTAGACACGACAGAGAACTTTATTGAGACGATGATAGGCTACAAAGCTCCTCGGAAGAGCCCATTGGTCTTTCCACCCAGGAAATCGACCCTCAAGATCCCAGAGATGTTGTTGATGCATACTAGACCGCCATCTCTACCGCCATCCTACCACAGGCGGCGCCAGAGACGGAAGAAGGAGAATCTTGGGAACAACTTTAAGAACCAGGCTGACGAGCTTGCCGGGTTGATGCGCAGGAGTATCAACCGTGTCGAGCTGAAGGATCGGCTCAAATGGGATGACGACCACGACGGATGGGAGCTGGAAGCGTCGAGACGGGTTCAGGTACAAGATATTGGTCACGATCATCATATTGAGGATGTTGAGCTCGGTGAGCAAGGTAATGAGTTGGCGGCATCTTGGCTCCGGGAACAGATGCTGGGCTGATACCATCAACCATGGCAAACTATATGAGCTATTTCCCCCCTCCAACTACTATAGATACCTGGCAAATGTGCATAGTAGGAGATAAAAAGGTCATATTAACTATCAAGTTTTACATGTGATATTAATATACAGGTCTGAAAGTTTTTTCTACACCAAAAAAAATCGAAGTCAGTCATCAAATAAAGGGGGGAAAAGAAACCACCATAAATATTTGAACAACCGCCAGAAGGGACCTCGACCTTCCCAGCTTCCCTAGATTGGCGCTCGGTTCTCATTGGCGCTAACCCTAACAGTGGCATAATTTGTCCGATGGCAGCACAATGCTGCCAACTCTCCCGCAAAGAATCAATGCCAATGCCAAAAAAAAATCCAGCTGGGCGAAAAAGAAAAAGATTAAAAAAACGAAGAAACAATGTTTAAGGGGCTCAACCGGGATTTGAACCCGGGACCTCTCGCAATCGAGTTTTTTGAATGTATCTAGGGACTTTGCCCAAGAATACGTACTCCCAAAGCGAGAATCATACGACTAGACCATTGAGCCACTGGAATTCTTGAAAAGAACGCTGCTATGATAGTTTATTACGGCCAATTTGGGATTGTGGAGGTGATGGGCCAATCAGAGCTTGATCTGTTAGAAGATCCGGCAAGGAGCGGTGTGGCTGAGGCCGGGAGCCCATGTGGCTTGAGGAAATATCCCCACTGGGTGAGTTAATCAAGTGAGAAATGGTGAAGTGGATGGGAGTATCATTGCGGACACCGTTCATCCATGGATAGGTCTAATGAATGAATGAATTAAGGATCAAGGGATTGATGGTCCTGCTAAGAAGATTATCAAATCATAATGCCAGTCACTGCTGGAAAACCACCACCCGGGCAGCCATCCGGGCGTCGAGTGCGTAAAATGCCTAAATTACCAGACGCAGGTATCTAGTAGGGAGTTTAACTTCCAATGTTATGGACAATGCCATAACTCCTTGCTGGACATTATTGTACCATAATCAGTCTTACTGAGAAGTTGAATATCTTTGCTGAATGGGCGGCCAAGGCAGGGAGCCGGATAGTTGAATAGAATGTGAGACGGCCGGCTAAATACACAAACGATATCGACTTCAGCGGAAATGCCTGATCAAGTGCTAACCTACTTAGGATCTTCTGACCGACTACATGAGCAGTAAACCCTTAGTCTTATGGGAAAGACTTGGTAGGATTCTACTCGCCTATGAAAACCAGAAGGCATTCATCTCGATTGAAAGTTGTGTCTTTGTTTAATGAAATGTTGCACTCTTGTCAATTTCAAGGGGAAAATCATGGGGTTCAACAACAATAACAACAACAACAACAGCTTGACTTGGTGGAAAATCATATAAGCTAAGTAACAGAAAAGACAGTTCATAGCTTGCAACAGGACCGAATGAATGTAATACCCCTCCCCAAGATGGTCCAACTCCCGCCATCTATCTCCCATCGCATCACATCCCTACCCCGACGTAACACTCATTCACCAGCGTCACATCCGCCCCATACAACAGCTCCTTTTCCCAGCGCGTCGCAAACGCGTTCACCTTGAAGTCGAAATCCAACGAGTACTCCCAGCCGGAAGGGCACGTCATATTCCCCATCCCCAGTGGCTCCCCATCACCATCACCACCACCACCACCATCGCCACCAGTACCAGCGCCCAAAGGCGTCCCGTTATTCCCCAGCCCCTTCTCCGGCGCCTCCTCCGTGCGCCGCAGCTCGTTGACCAGCTTCGGCACCGCCTCGACCCCGGAGCTCAGGTCCAGGACCCCGCCGAGGATCTGCACGGCGAACTCGACGGCGAACCGGAAGTACGGCGACAACCGCACCGACGCCACCTGCCCGGGGTCCACGTCCAGCCCCCCTTCCCCCCCGGGACCCTTCGTCGTCGTCGTCGTCGTCCCCGTACTCCTCCCAGGTCGACGCGTTCGCCCGCAGCAGGTCGAGGTGCAGCCGGGCGCCGGGGACCTCGGCGCGGGCCCACAGATCCACGGCGGCGGCGGTCTCGACGACGACGCCGACCTCGAGACCCACCGTCCAGCTCAGCGCCGGACCCAGGTTCAGGATCCCCGGGATGTCGATGGCGCTGAGGACCAAGGGGGCCACGGGCCAGGGCAGCGACTGCGTCAGGGGACCGGTGAAGCCGAGGGTCAGGTTCAGACAGGCGGCGAACGAGGCCGTCAGGTCGAGGGTGAACTCCTGCGGGCCATGGAATATGTCGTAGCTCAGCTACGTGCTCACGGTGAGGTTGTCGGACAGGTAGGCCTCGTTGACGGTCGCGGTGAGTGATGATGATGATGGGTCGGTGGTCACGTTGAGCTGGGTGCCGGGGGGGATGGAGTGCGAGCCCGAGAGCGGGAAGCCCGTCTTGTTGAGTTCGATGTCCTGTTTCGTCGTCGTCGTCGCTGTTGAAGCGTCGGGGGAGGCCTGGAGCGTGAGGTTGAAGTTTGCTGGGAATTTTTATGTTAGTCTATTACGTATTCATCTACCTTACGTATGCATGCATGTGTGTGTGTGTGTATGGATGTATCAGATGGGGCATCCTGCGCGTGCAAGCGATGAGCGAGCTGAGGTACGACTCACAAACCAAGCTACCGATATCCGAACGCTTCGCCAGGATCTTGGCGACGTTGGTCGTATCGTCGTACTGGGCCGCATCGGCGAGGTAGAATCCCCGCTCGCCCTCCGGTTCGCATCCGCCGTTGTGATGATTCGTGATGAAAATGAGCTGGCTCCCGCCCTTCTCCAGCAAGCGCCAGCTCGCCGCCGACCGGTCGAGAATCTGTGCTGTGTCAAACCGGACCTCTACGCCCTCGCCGTTGCAGGTGACGTCGCTCACGTCACCCACGTTCTCGAGCACCACGGCGGGGAAGGTCAAGTTCACGTCGACATTGGCGAAGCCGGCGTCGTGGCCGTAGGTCAAGCGGACAATCCGGTTAGGCACGAGACCATCGACGCCGGCCCGGTTCAGTCCAGGCGTGAGTGCTGGCGTAAAGGTAAGATTGGAGATGGCGGAGACGATGGAGGAGAGGAGGAGGAGGAGTGCCGCGGTGGCGCATAAGGGAGTTTGGATCGAGATCATGATGGTTGCTAGCATTAGGTGTTATTGAATAGGCAATGGTGTCGCTCGTGTGTGGTTAATGTCATTGAGCGAGAAATGGTGAATGGGAAGTCGATGACAGCTTATATCTTCAAGAGCTCATGGGGGGTCTTCGAAAACTTGCCACTCGCACACAAATAAGTCACTGGGAAGTTTGGCCTGTGAACAAGTACTCTCGAATCCGAAACAACCGAGTACCTACCGTGGAACGGTGATTCGCTGCCAAACCCCTTTGTTTGCTGATGAGCTTGGGACGAAGATGGGATGACATGCACCGCTCGGGACACTGAACAGGTGAGTATCTATCTGTTAACCTAGGTATCTATCTACGTCTGTTTATGTGATTTCTCAAAGGAACAGGCTGCCATCACATTTCGATCGCTGTGAGCTGTAGACGTGTGTCATGTCGGACATCGTTCATACTGCTAGTCAGCTGCAACTATTGATCTTCCTTAGAAACGCATCATATCACACCTGCACACTTTCCTCAGCAGCTTTCTTCTCGAGCATCGCCACATGCTCCGCCACGCGGAGGTCATACTTCCTGAGATTCTCCGACAGCGTGGTCTGCCATGCCCGCGCCAGCTCCATCTGCTCCGTCTCCGTAAGGGGGATGGCGCTACCCATCCTGCTGCGCCGGCTGGTTTGGGTCTCCTTGAGGGAAGCATTCGGGTCTTCGCCGGTCGGATCTGCGAACTCGTAAGAGCGCACCTCTGTGTTCGCCCAACCGGTGCCCGCTGCAAATCGTCAGTCACTTGTCCCAAGGCTGAAAGGGTGAGCGAGAACGAACCCCTCTCAGGTACTGTCCCTTCCCAGTCCTCTGTTAGATAATGGAGGAAACCGCCACTATCACATGTTCAAGTCAGCGTCTCTTCTCTCTCTCTCTCTCTCTCTCTCCTAAAAGGAGTGGTTATGAGAAGCACGAATGAATATAATGATTTCCTCCAACCTGCCCCCAATGATATGAACTACGACCTGTAGTGACAACACCAGAAGACACTAGCAATATCAGACTACTTACTGCGTGACCAGAACGACCTGCGAATTCTCCCCCGCCTGTCGTACCAGATCCCGCAACCAGACGCGAGCCCCGCGCGACCGCTCCGCCAGATTCTCCGGCGTAGGACAGTACCTGCTCCCGGGCGCCTTATCGTTCCATCCCGGCGCCACCAGGCCGATGTCGACACGGTCGCCGAACTCGGCCGCGAGCGCCGCGGGGTCCGTGCCGGTGTCGCACGGCAGCGCCGACACCTCCTGGGCGTCGGGAAGGGCGATGACGCGCTTGCCCGCGGCGGCCGCGGGCGCGAAGGCGAGCAGGCAGGTTTGCAGGGTGCGGCGGATGGGCGAGGCGGCCAGGTGGGTGATCTGGTGGTGGGCGGGGAACCGCGCGCGGAGGTCGGCGCACTGCTGCTCGCCCTCCGCCGTCAGGCCCGGGTCCCGGATGAGCTGGTTATCGGGGCTGAGGTTGTGGAACCCCTGGGCGTGGCGCACGAGGTGGATGACTGGTGCCATTGTGTGACAAATGGGTATGATTTTGCTTGCGCGTGATGGTTTTTTTTTGGGGGTGTAACTGTCCGGGGAGGGAGATCGTAGGGGGAATTGTCCACTGCGCGGTGGATGTTATTTGTAGTGCTGTAGGATTAATGTTGACTATGAACCCCTTGGTATGCCTGCTCTGTTGCCGCGATACGCCCTAGATGATTCGTGAGGCGTGGACTCTTCGAAAATCAGCAGATACATGCACCAACAGTCTTGAAACATATCACTTCGACGGCAAAGCACATATCACTTCGACGGCAAAGCACCACCTCTACGTTGTCAAACGAGATGTATCGCACCAGAAAGAATCCTGCATAAGTATCTAGTAGGTAGTGATAGCGACTTTATACCGATACTTGGGGGTAAAATTCTTGCGGTATATGGGCGCAAGAAAAAATGATTGATCTTACTCATCCACATTTCTCTTCCTCACCTGGACTCAATGAATCCATTGTAGCTCTACCGCCGGTCGTCTGTCGTAACGAATCTTTGGCACCCGGTCTCGGTCCTGTCATACATACGAGGTCCACGGGATTTATGATTGGTCTGATAGCTGTGCTTGACATTGTGAGACGCAAAAGAATCTGTCTGTTGCTGCGGGGGTTCAGAAGTCTGCCTGAATCATCGTGGAATCTGACGCAGACAGGCTGACTGGTATGTAGGTTTTGCGATATGCACTTCTTGGCTGCAGTCCATACCCAAGTACTTGGGCGAGCGAGGCGTAGCCCTGTGTGTCATAAAACTGAGCATATTGATCCGAAGTAGACTTCAGCTCGGATCCATCGTTAGATTTCCGGCCACAGTATGCACGTGTTGGGGCGTAGGCCAGTTGGTTGGTTGTGGTATGGTATCTCTAATTTTGTTCAGATTCCCCAGACGTTTGG